CCTACCTACCTATCTACCTCTATTCCTCGCGCCTTTCAACCATCCCGAAAGTTGAGTCGTGGAGGGGGCGAGAAGGGAGGAGCAGGGGAAGGGCCACGGAACGTCCGTCTTGTACGTGTCGGACGTCGCCGTTCGGCTTGCGCAGAGTGCCGTTGTAAGTCAGCGAAAATAAGGTCCGCAAAGGCGCAAAGGAGTGTCGTCTCGGAATCTTCGATCTTAATTTCAACGACGGGTGTATTCCAGTTTGGCGGTCGGGAGAAATTCCGATAACCGGCGGTGCAACGCATCGGGGTCTCCCAATCTCTCGAGAAGGTATCTTCGACGGTGAACACAACGACGGAAGGAAGTAAAAATCCGCGCAATTACCCGACTAGAAATTTATCCCATGGTCCTGATCAGGTTAACCTCATTTGGACATCAGGTCCCAATAAAGATAATACTATCGAGTCCTAACAAATCATGTAACGCAGCGTGGATATCAGGACCTTAGTAAGGTTCATAGTCAGGTCCCTATTGAGTTACCTTATGGAATCCTTATTACGTTTCTTTCTTCTCAAATTATGTCTGCTGATTACTCGCCACTCGCCTATATTGGACGATGACATTGGAAGTAAGAAATGACAATGCTGAAAATTCTTTCATGTCATTTCCAAATGAAAAGATATTTGCATGAAATCATATTTGAGATCGCTTGAGCATACTTGTAAAATGTGTTTCGTCACGACCAATAAATTATCGCACAACATAAACACGCACTGAGATACGCAACATGCACGCACAGAGTAGGCGACTGAACTGCTTCTCGAGCATCTTTTGTCTTGTAGGCCCATATATGGACAAATGCAAGACAAATGAGAGCTGCAGTGCGCACGCCAACTACAGGCAACTCGTCGTTGCGCGTTATACGATAAAAATTGAACTGTCTCTAATTATATGTGGTGCATTATAAAAATATTCTTTTATACTACGTCCAGTACTATTAAAGTTTTACACACACACACACACACACATATTCATATCATGTACTCGTACATATAAAATTAATTACAAATGGTTTTTGTTAAAACTTGATAATGCAAGTCATATTAGGTACAATGAATAAGATCCCGACAAGTACCTGATCAACTGAATCATATTATATCATACACTAGGTTGGTAACCTTATAAAGGTTTTCCTTACTCATTTGTCGTTAGGACATTATAAGGACTGACTTACTTAGGATTACCTTTCATTCACCTTATTAGGTCCTTATCAATGTTAGGTGAACCTGATCAAAATTTCTAGTCGAGTGTATCTCGCTCGAATTGTCCATCGAGTTGGCCAGACCGGAAACAATCAACAGCACAGGCTAAACTATTTCAAAATCGATCGATAAAATTTGTTTTATTTTTAACGCTTTAACTACATGCCGTTGTACAGCGTCTGTAGTAATTGAAATACATTGGGCTGCGGGATATCTGCACGGAAATATTTGCTGGACAAAGTATACGTGTGTTTGTGCACGTGTAACAGACTGCCGCTGTGTAATCGATGAAAGTCGGTCAAAGTCGGCCATAGGTCGCCGGGGAGTTTGTCTCACCAGGGTCTGTCTGCAACGAAATTTTACACCAGCCAGCGGAAGTCTTATGTTAGTCAGCAGATACGTTAGTTAAGATTCATAGAGATCGCAAAGGAAAACTGTCTCGCGCTGTTGCGGCACATGTCGATATCTGGCGGGCACTTTTGGTAGGAGCGTGTTGGCTGTCGGATTTTAAGGTCAGGAAATTATTGAATCCCTTCAACCAAGCAGCTTTTCTATCTGGCTCGAGATGTTTTCATGTAAAGAAGAAAAAAAAACGTACACGTCGTCTCTTCATCGAGGCTCGTTCTCTCGTGTGCGCATTACGTGATCATTCTTTCATCATGTGATTATGTATACACGTTCCGCGTATGGGATTCCGCGTATTGCAAACACTTGGTGTATAATAATTAGGAAGGGATCTGACCCGATATCTAGGTCGCTGTATACGTTGAATTTAATGCCGATTTTGCAGGTACAGTAGTTGTACCGAATGATACGCTTCAATTATCCGAGCGGTTGAAGGCTTTCGACGATACGTAGCGAATACGTGTGTGTCAAAATTCGCGCACTCGTGGTTACTACGAGCATATATACATTTATGAATTTATACATTTTTTATTTTTTCTTAGTGAAAATTCCGTTAGAACATACACACGCTCTCTCTCTCTCTCTCTCTCTCTCTCTCTCTCTCTCTCTCTCTCTCTCTCTCTCTCTCTCTCTCTCTCTCTCTCTCTCTCTCTCTCTCTCTCTCTCTCTCTCTCTCTCTCTCTCTCTCTCTCTCTCTCTCTCTCTCTCTCTCTCTCTCTCTGCTCGACTTTTTAACACACCGCTTTAACCACTTATCTCCGTATCTGGGCCTTAAATAAAAGTTGAGGTAAGATCTACTTGAAATTAATTGAGAAGTAAATCTTGTTATTTCCAAGATTTTTCCGCGGGATTATCGTTTTATGGAGCGGAGAACAAGTTTGAATCGTCGATTTCTCGTCGCTGGGAAACAAACGGCATTCCGGCGTGGTTAAAATTTCAGTATTTGCCTTGCCCGCTTGCTGAATTTTATCTCCGTCGATCGCGTAATACGATTATAAGAAATTCAGTCGCAAGAACGGCCGCGACCGCACACGAAAACGTAAATCGTAATATAATCCACGAGGTGTAACGCCCACTGGCGCCGGTATTAATAACGCCTTAATTGGAAATTAGACTATGATATAAACGTTCGACCTTCCTTTCCACGGGCGGCGAGGGTCGCGCGCCACGTATATGCTACCAAAGTTAATTCCTTTAATTAATAATACAGCTTAGAGCGTAAGACTGTAAAGCGACCGGTAAGCGCCGTCGATGTTTTATCCGGCGGTTTGTGCGTCCGGCGATGATACGAAGGTGTAGCTATGTTAAGAATTATGTACACATAACGAGCGCGCGCTCGTACGAACTCCCGTCTTTGTACGATATCACTTGAGAATTGTTTCGTTTGAGTAGACCTTCGGCTATTCCACATTACGACGACCCAGATATTGGAAATTGTATATCCAACAATGACACACACACACACACACACGAAGTAGAGTCGCACAGTAGATTCGAGCGCAATTTTCGATAACGTCCCGTTGACAAGAGACAGTACATTCTTGATACGCTCCGTTGTGTCCTTTTTCTTCTCCTTTCTAAGCATGTCAAGAACGAAGCGTCGACGAAGCTATTTCTCTCGCAATAATGTCGAAACGGAACGATCCTCGGCGGCGCGGCGTTGCAAGTCGGAATTTTTAGCTTCGCAGCCAATCGTAATCAATTCGGAATGATGTAAGACCGTCTATTACGCGCTGCGGTAGCCTCCGCGTCACGTGACAACGTCACGTGACGCTGGCAAATGCATGCAAGTCTTGGGAAACACGCAGCTCCGAACGAGCGAGCCTTATTCTGTCATATAAGAATGATTTAGGCCATATTGATTAAGAAATTACGTGAACCGTCTTCTCGTGCCCGAATCGCCTATTCGCCACTCCCGGCCGTCACGGAACGGCACTCCGCGCGGAGATACGTAACTTTTAAATAAATTATACAGTAACACACCGCGAGCAACGAGTGTGTTACGTACAACACACGAGGAGCAACGTGGCAAAACGTGACGTGTAACAAGCACACAAGTACACAATTTAGCATAGAGAACTTGCGGAACACTTTTATAGATTGCCCGCGATCCGCGTCCTTTCTTTCTTTATTCCTTCTTCGCGCCTTCTTCGTCTCTTTCTCGCCGAGTCGAGAGACGCGGCGGGAGAAAAAAAGAACGCGCGGAAGCATATCGGCCAAATATCGTGAGTATTGTCCGCACGGAAATAACGGAACCATCAGAGTTCAATATTGCACGTACTGTGCCGGTCGGGATATTTGAAGAGAGAGAGAGAGAGAGAGAGAGAGAGAGAGAGAGAGAGAGAGTCGATCGGTTGGCCGCGACACTCCTGACAAGATACTTTTTTAGTTCAATTACGACAGCGTTTCGAGTATCGCGCGTACACGTACTTTCCTTTCGTCGAGCCGCGTCCATCCATATTTTCAAGCGCGCGGGAAATGTCGGTGGAGCGCGATTGGGTTTAACCCAGATAATCCTTATCTAACATTCATTGGTTTTGTTTAAACGTTCGATCGATTATACATAATGAATCGAACGCTTCAACGTCGAGTAATGAGATAAATCAAGCCCGGCGCTCTTGACGTGTCAGAGCCGTCGAATATATTCGGCTGGTCGGCTATAACTGCGCTGCTCGGCGCGTAGTGTTGAGGCGAATCCTCCTCGTCCCTGCGAAGAAATCCGGCAGGATCCCGAAAAATTCGCTCTCGATCGCGCGCAGAGCGAGATGGAGCGTGCTCGGACGGTGAATGGCGGCGGCGCGCTTTCGTAAATTTCGTGCAATTTCGCGTCTCTCTCTCTCTCTCTCTCTCCCCCTCTCTCTCTCTCTCCCTCCCTCCCTCTCTCTCTCTCTCTCTCTCTCTCTCTCTCTCTCTCTCTCTCTCGTCGAGCGACGGGCTCGCGCGCGTACGAAGGTGCCCTCTCGACGACAAGGTGGCACGGGCAAAAGCGGAGCACCGACCGCTCTGGGGTGGCTGCGGGTGCGCGCAGAGACGCCGGGGGTAGGATGGGTGGCGGATCTCCCGCCGCTCCGTTTTACGGCGGATGGTTCGCCGGACGCCCGTCGTCGGGGCGCTGCAGCCCGTCAGGACGTCAGTTCTCCATCGCACCGCGCCACGAACGGACCTGGATCCCACAGGCGGGTGTACACACATACACACACACACATATATGTACATACGCACACACACACGCACACACCCACATACATAGGCATCCACGCACGTACACACGCATACACACATACACACATACACACACACACATATATATATATACGTGCTCGTGTGCGCGCGCGCGCGCGCGCGCGCTCCCCTGCGTGGACTGGCCTCGCGCGCGAGACTCGGTCCAGCGCGCGAGCGGGACCAAATCGCGCGGCGACCATGAGTGAATCGCGCCCGCGTTCACCTGCGCCGACTACTCGTCGATGATGAGAGAGCAGCAACGTGCGTGCCAAGGAGTAACGCGATCCCCCGTCTCGCGTCGCCGCCGCGCGGCGGCCACCGACGGTGAACACCACGAGTGATTCGTTCGACTCGACCGATCCGAGTGAAGTGTCGCGATATACGAGAGCGAGAGAGAAAGCAAGAAGAGAGAGAGAGAGAGAGAGAGAGAGATCGACGAGTGTTTCAGAGCTATCAGGAAGAGGAGCGGAGAAGGACAGAGCACTCTCTCCCGTGCGCTCGCCGCGCATACAGCCAGGCGGACGAGCGGAGGTCCAAAGTGTCCGCGAGGGAGATTAGTAGTATAAACAGCGCGAGTGTACCGCGCGGACAGTAGTGAAGGACAATCGCGCGAGCGGACAAGTAGTGACAGACCGTAAGACGGTAAGGGCGAGAGTAGCAGTGGAGAGAGAGAGAGAGAGAGAGAGAGAGAGAGCCGGACACACGACGCGCGCCGCAGTAGTTGCGGACGTCGCGCGCGCGGACTTGCCGCGTAGCGGAGCGCATTGTGCCCGGAGCGTGACCGGATCAAGAAGACCCGCCGACGCCGACGGCGAGGGCTCTCGTTCGACAAGGGAGCTCGGTGGATCAGCTGGTAGCGCGCGATCCAGCGAGATAACACACGCCGACGCGCTTCATCCTACAGCTACGTGTGGCATGTGTAGCCGCGACAACGGCGACGAACATGCGAGCACGCTTAACCCACGCACGTACGCGTAATCGTCGCGGCTCGCCACCGAGGAGGATTCAATTAAATCTCCCGCGAGGAAGGTCAAGTACTCCGCGCAGCACCAGCATCAGCGACGCGGGGGGGCCCGAGCTTTAATTAAAACGCCCGCGGGATTCCCATTATCGCGCGCGCTCGCGCGCCTCGTATTCGGGATTAATTAGCCGCGTCGGAAACGAGAGCGCCGGCCAGGTCGTTGACGGAGGCGAAAAGGGTGATATAGGAGGACGTGATTGCCGGTGGCGTGGCAAGCCTCGTGTGTCGTGCTCGTAATAACGCGTCGGGCGTGCGCGCGAGACAAAGAGAGAGAGAGAGAGAGAGAGAGAGAGAGAGAGTTTTGTACGAGCAGTGTCGCGAGCTCCTCGAGCCCCCGACGGAGCCCTCCTCTTCGTCGTCATGGATCATCTGTTTGTTATTCTCGTTCTTTGGTCGCGCTGGCTCGCGTAGCCGCGCGCGCAACGACTGCGACGGTTAATTTGCGGCCGTCACGAATGCTTCTTCCTCGCGAGTGACAGTTTGTGCAGTTGCGTGAGGAAATAAGTCGTCGTTTCGAGGCAAGAGAGAGAGAGAGAGAGAGAGAGACAGGCAAGTTAAGAAGGGTCTTATAAACGTCTTACGGTCGACGTGCCGCCGATGACAATGTCGAAGTAGGACTCTCTCGGCGAACCGCGACAGGTAAGCGAAAGGATAATTTGTGAGCGCTCGTGAGTGCTCTCGCCGATGATCTTCCGGTGTATCCTCGCGTGTACGGTTCCCGCTCGATTCGCGTGTGTTGCAGTTTTAACGCTGCAACGGCGACGCCGAGAAGCGGCCGCTGAGAAGCGCGGAGCCACGCTCTTTCGTTACCGGCGATTGAATATTTAAACATCAAGCGTGTTGCTTGGCGAATATAAAGCCTGAAATATACAACGCCGTGGCTTTGTGCCAGTGGCTGTTGGAGCGCTACGAAAACGCCATGGCAGAGCGCGCTATCAGCGTTGAACATTGTTACGGCTCGCGATGAAATGAGAGCGCAGACGGATATTATTTATCAACGTTAACAATCGACGTCGGCTCCTCCCGCGGCGCAGCTATTTAACTTATTTTTCAAACGGACTATTCACATGTAACATGCCATTATACAATTCCCATTATAATTTAGCGCTACGGCATGCTATAATGCGATTCTAATGTCATTTCTGTTAATTAATATTACACATCATGCAGTGGCGCGCTGAATTTATTATAAAGTATAATGTATTATAATCTACTAAACAGGCGCGCTACTACATCATGTCCGATGTATCGCTGAGCTCGCGCGGAACAGCCTCCCCCGTTTTTCGCTGTATTGTCGCGGGGCTGCACGAGAGAGAACCTTGATGCGATATTTAGTTGTGCGGTTTGCGCTCGGGCATGCAGACTTGAACACATCAAATATTAGCCACAGCTAATTGCACCGATTGAGCGCACGATAATAATTCCATTAATTTCAAGTAACGCCAGATTTGTTTGCGCAACATTAAACGCAGCGGTTTCGCGCGGTGTTTTCCGTGCGCCCGACGCGAGAAATATCTTTGTGAGAAACGCGCAGTGCTTTATGCCTCGCAGATCGCGAAGACACGATCCAAAAGACGCGCAAGCGCGTACAGTGCGATTAATGAAACAACGGGCACGCGAGCGTCGGGGCACTTCACCGTGCGCGCAAACTTTTATTGCGCGCAAAATAGATCGAAAGTGAAAAAGGAAATAAAAAAACGAGAGCGCGCATGTACATGTACAGGTGCGTGCGTGCGTGCGTGCGTCCGAGCCGTTCCTGACGAGAAGAGAAATGAAAAAAGCCGGACATTTTCGACAGCCAGCAGTTTCGGCCGGTGCGCGAAGAGCACGGCCGTCAAAAATATCATTGCCGCGAGAATTTACGACGTCCGGAAGCCGACTACGCGCGCTGAAAATCGCGCTGAAAATCGCGCCCGCGATTCCGCGGCCTCGCGACGTCGCGAGCCCGCGGCTCCTCGTATCTCATTATCTTAATGCGCGCCGTTTATCTTAATGCGTTTTTGGCCAGCTCAGGAAGGCTGCATCGCGCGTCGCGCCTAAGACAAAAGGCGCGACGATAACCGCGAAGACGAACGAAGCCGACGAAGCCAGCGCTTATCTCCGCGCGCGCGCGTTAATTATCCTCATTTTGCGAGCATCCGCCGACACTTGTAAGATAACAAGCGACAAGCAAGTTGCGTCCTGGACGTTGGGCCGCGCGACTATCTCATTTGCGTAACACACAATGTCGCGCGCTGCGCCTCTCTCTCTCTCTCTCTCTCTCTCTCGCACGCGCGCGCGGTGCGTCGGTTTTGCATGACTGAACACACACCGGCGTCCGGTGTTATTCAGCGGGCCGAACTTCCCTCGTCGCGCCGCCGAAATTTCGTCGTCTGCTGTCTCGCCGCGGCTCGCGCCGCGCCCGATCGAACAAATGTCGGAATGCGCGTGACTCGTCTCACACGTCGTGGCTAGAGAGCTTCATAGAAAGAGAGTGGCAAAACTGATCACGTGACCAGGTCTCTGCTGCCATTCGCGATGGAGGCACTCCAAAGTCTTCTTGACCGATCAGAATATCGATACAGCAAGACGACAGGTTGATTTTCCAGTGAGTTTTTAAAGCAGTCTAGGCATTTTGTACTATGCGCAAGACACAAAATTATGTAAATAATGTATATTACGATTCTTATTCTATGTAAATCGAAGCGACAGATATTCTTTTACACAATTAATACTTATTACTTACGGATGTCTGATTCTTATTGCTGTTATTAATTCGTAGGCGAATATCTTGCGCGACTCGTCGTAACTCCCTCTAATAATTGACTGATGTCTAATAATTAGACTGCTTTAAAAACTCACTGTAAAACCAGCCTGTCGTCTTGCCGCATCGATATTCTAATTGGTGAGGAAGGCTTTGTGCCTTCATCGAATCAACAGAGACCTGGTCACGTGATCAGTTTGCCACTCTCTTCCTATGAGGCTCTCTGGTCGTGGCAGAGAGAAAGAGAGAGAGAGAGAGAGAGAGAGGGAGAGAGAGAGAGAGAGAGAGAGAGAGAGAGAGAGAGAGAGAGACAGAGTCACTCTTACATTAGTCGCACTGCACGCCGGCCGATCATTGTATCGCAATCGCGCGCGGCGCATTTTTCCCCTCCGGTAGTCTTTACACACTCCAGTGTTCTATCGGCGTTCATCAGATAAGCCCGCGAAACACGCGGCGCGCGTTCGCTCGTTATGTTATTTAATCGTGCGTCCGCGATGCACTCGCTGCCCTCGCACCTCAACTACCCTTCCCGTCTTATTAATATTTGGCCGTGTTTACACGGAGCTTACATTACGTACCGGACGCCGTCGCCGGCGCCGCCGCCGTCGCTACGTTCGTCGCGAGATCGGTATCCCGGTGGTTCCCCTGCGCGTCGCTCTTGGTGCTTACGAATGATCGATCAACATCCCATGCGCGCGCGGTTACCGGACTAAGCGATAGCAATCGGCCGTTATTGCTCGTGCCAGGCGTAATGACGTTAATGGTCGGAGGAACGGCCGGTTACACGGCGGCGGCCGATAATGTTCTTCCTCGCCTCCTCCGACAGGGGCCTCCGCAGAGGCCGCAGAGAGTGAAAAATGTGTTTGAGCCGTGTAAATAAACGTTAGAGCTGTTGCCCCCGACGTGTCTCGCGCGAAGGCGGACGGCTATCGCCCGCGCAGATACCGCGGCGCGACGCGGCGGAGCTGTCTCGCTCGCGAAAAGCGCTTGAAAAATAACGCTTCCGCGAGCACTAATTGCGACCATCGCGAGAAAGACAGCGGGAGAGAAATACACACACAGAGAGAGCGAGAGAGAGAGAGAGAGAGAGAGAGAGTGAGGGCGGGGCGGGGGGCAAGAGAGCGAGAGAACGCGTTATTTACCGCGCCGCGTTTGGTCGGTCCGCAGATTACGCTGGACTACGGTTTGTTTGCCCGCTTTACGGCGGTGAGGGCTAATTTAACTTTTCGTTTTAAATTATGGAGATGAGGGACGCACACCGTGGAAGTTTCGAGAGAGAGAGAGAGAGAGAGAGAGAGAGAGAGAGAGAGAGAGAGAGTTGCGCGCGAGAGGAGAGGCTCTAATACGCGTAATCCCATCGCGCGCGATATCATCGTTGGCGCGCGCGGGCTTGCGTGCGAGCGGACCGATCGGTCGCTCGCTCGCTCGCTCGTCCGCGCGACACGTCAGACACGTGTCTCGATAAAACGAGCCTGGCACGATTGCGGAATCCGCAATCAGCCAGCTACGAAGATTAATTGCGCGAATTACGGGAATCGCGGGAGCCGTCTCGCGCGATGGCCGATATTATCGGCATGCTCTCTTCGCGATCAATTTCCGTCCGCGGAAATGTTTAGACGCTGCGCTGAGGACGCAGGACGGGCTGTTGTCCTTGGGCCCGCCTTTGTCTCTGGAGAATGAGCCAGAGCCTGTTTGTTTCTTCGTGGAATCTTACGTCGCGACGTTCCGTGCGGAATAGCGCGGCAGTTTGTCGCGTTATAATTAATGCGGCCTCTCGTCCCGCGCTTTCTTATCCCGCGGAAATTTTCCTCGAAATACAGCATATTACGGCTACCGGCGGGATCTCTCGGCGAGGGACGGTAGCTTCCGCTTTTTCCGCAGCGTGGACACTATAGATGATACAAACAAAAAGATCTTATCGTCTGACTGCGCATAAACGAAAGCTCCGCTGCGCGTGGCTTCCGGCTGCCCTGGCTCGGCTACCTACCTCGCCGGGGCATACGTACATTGCGTGCACTCGCAAAAGTGCGTTCAGTCTTTTATCTTGAAAAATGTGCCGGAAGCAATTTCATATTTTATACGAGCACAGTGCGCGCGCGCGCGCGCGCGCACTGTGCTCGTATAAAATATGCGCGTGCGCCGCGTGCGCTCAAACGAAGCAACAGTTGTTGCCTTCCCGCGGGGATCTCGTCGCCTCCTGTCGCGGGTTAATCACGACCATCGAACTTCTACTTTGTGGAAAAAAAAAAAACGGTTGTTGGCGGCGGGAATGAAGCGCGCGTGGCTTGTTTCGCGCTTGTGCCATCGCGATAGCTCGTCGCCTCGTCACCTCGTCGGGGCTGAGCTGATCGCGCGCGAAGAAACGGGGGAGGAAGACACATATTAGAACAATATTAAACGGCGGCCTCGTAAGACTCGCTCATTTTTAATAAGCGTGCTCTAAACGCATAGGTCAAAGTTTCTCCCTCGGCGGAGGTATCGTTCGATATTAAATCTCTCGCGTGCCTCTGTATTTTCTCATCGCGGGAACATACACGAGCGGCGTGAATATGTGAACCCGCCGCGGCGGGATTACGTAGCACGATAAAATATGCGAACAGACGCGATATCGTGACTTTATTACGGATTGAAGCCACCGCGAAGAATGCATTTTACGTTATCCGTATCAGTTATGGCGGGCCGCGCGAAGGCACGTCGAAACTCGCGCGCGCGCGCGCGAAACGTATGGCTTGCGGCATCTCGCGATATCGCGGCAAAGCGGAATTTCACGTTTTCGAAGCGCACGGTATACGACGGTATAAAGTCCGCGCGCACAACCGGTGCATAAAGTAAAAGCGGGCCCGGGATGAAAGGAGAACCAGCAGGGAAACGTGCGTCTGAAGGGTTGCCTGGTTTGTGTGTGGAAGTTGCGAGAGCAGCCGGTGTGGATAGAGCGATAGCTACTTACTTTGCTGCTCTCGCTGGACACGGGAGCAGGGAGAGAGAGAGAGAGAGAGAGAGAGAGAGAGAGAGAGGGAGAGAACGAAAGGGACGAGAAAGCGAGAGAGGAGGAGAAAAGAAAAAAGATTCATTTATTCGGCGCCCTCGGGTAGCACCTCTCGGCTCCCTTCTCAAGCGCCAGGCTAGACGTATAGATAGATTTTTTTTTCGCAACCGTGACCCTTCGGTGCGTTATCCAGAATATTTGTCCCCTCCGAGAAAGTTACACGCAACATCATCTCGAGCACTGGTTTAGTCTCCTTGACGTGTGAAGTCTTCATTATTCCTAACCAGTTTCACAGTAACGCAACAACTTGCACGTTACGACGCAGGTAGTTGACAGTGTGGAACATATTGTCGCGTGAAATACTAATAATTGAGAAAGTATCGCCGATTCCATCGGCGCGGAAACGCGCTCGACTCCGAACGACCGCGGCGGTCGCGAACGCGATGACTCAGTCACGCACCGCGAGGAACGAGTCCTGATTAGAGTCCCCGTCTCGCAACGGTGATTTATCGGCGTTTCGCTGGATCGCGCCGTCGACGTCTCGACGAGCGCGACGGCGCGGCATTTGCGTTTTGACGCAGAGACGCCGGGTTCGTGATTCGAATAAATGGACTGCGTGTCTCACACGGTTGAGGAGGACTCGTGGGAGGTTCACGACGGGACGGGTCATTTCGCTGACGGTGATACTCGGCGTAAGGAGCTCGGCTGGGACGCGGAGAGCGCCCTCCGCGGATCCGTCCGTGAGCGACGCTATCTCGACGTGACGAATGAGCAGCTTCCCCCGGGCTTGTCTCGCGGGACAGAGAGCGTGGGCGCTCGAGGAAATCATCCGCATGTTCCGGGGGATATTCTCGAATAAAATTCCCAGTCGACCGCGTGCGAGCGCTGCACAGTGTGTTCCCGGCTTTTCCGTGTTTTCTCCCCGTACGAGGGAGCCGTCTCTCCCCTTCCCCCCCGCCCCGCCGCGTCCGCGAGACTGTGTCTAGATTCGCCCGGCGCCAAAGTGTAAGCTTTCCTTCCTTCCTTCGTCCTTTTTTTCTTTCTTCTTCTTTCTCTCGCACGAGACAAACTTCCCTTATTTTTCTCACGAGAGAGCGCCCGGCCGGTAATCACGGGTGCAATTAAGAGTCCGCGCAATTTAAATTTCCATCGCACGTTCTTCAGCGTGAAGCGCCGCGCGGATGTTACAAAGTCACGAGAGACTGCGCTTAAGCGCAGTCAAATTTTACCCGAGCAGAGATCGGGACGCTCCGTATCGTTCGAAGTATACGAACGAAAATGTGGGGAACCTGGGAAATCCCTGTGTATCTCTCCATGGTATCTCTTATCGCTGGTTTTAGTGCATTGTGGATTACAAGAGAGATTCGTTACACGGCCACGCTTGAGTCTCGTTTCTGCGGGAGTAGGTTCCCTCCCTCCCTCCCTCCCGCCCTCCCTGCCTTCTCCCCCCCTCTCTCTCTCTCTCTCTCACTCTCTTTCTCTTTTCCTCTACTACTACTGCTGCTGCTGCTGCTGCTGCTGCGAGTATGAGATCGATCGCGTTGAGAACGATGAAATTGTTCCCGTTATGAATAAGTGGAATCGTCGTTGCAAATTCTTTTCACGTCTAGCTTTTCAACCCGCGCCGCGCGCTGGTGTGTCACGTATGCGGTGAAAAACCCTCGATCGTTAGCTGCAGAGACCCGCGCTCTCCAGCGGTTATTTTTCTCCCGGAATGAGCTTTCCTTCGACAAAAAGATTAGCATGACGATGTACAGCGAGCAATGTAACAATCACTGTAACAACCGGTATAACAATCAATCGCAATGAACGCGTATTTGTTTCCGCCGCGCGGCCGCGACACGCATTTCAATCGTTCTTGCGATTCTCCCGCCGCGTAGGCGGCCGGGAAACGGATACTTCGAGCACGCCGCGAATCCGCGGCCGTCGGGCCCCGGGCCCGACTAGAAGTTTGTCCCATGCTCCTGATCGGGTTAACCTCATTTGGACATCAGGTCCCAATAAGGTAATACTATCGGGTCCTACACTAGGAAAAATGTATTGCTGCGTGAGCCAAAATTTTGTTGCGCACAACAAAATAATTTGGTTAAAATATGCCCGACAAAACTGTTTAGTTTCCTGCTAACAAATATCCTGTTTGATCACGGTTTGTTCGTAATAACGTGATACTTTCGTTATAGCAAAACCAAAGAGCTTTAATAAAATGAATTTTGTTAAAAATACTATAATTTTTTCTTAATATATCAAAGCTAAATTTTAGCACACGAACGGAAAGACAAAAGAGTATCCATTGGATATTGGTTTAGTTTATGTAAAATAATATTTCGTTATTACGTAATTTTTACGGATGAAATTACTAAAATGCTTAATTTTTATATATAAAGTCTAAGAACAAAATCATGTTTGGTCCAGAGAACAAAGTTTAGTTGGGACAACTAAATATATTTTGTTATATAAAACAAGATATTTGGTTGCTATTAAAAAATGCTTCAACTAAACAGTTTTGTTAGAGATACTAAATTTTTTTCCCTCGTGTAGTAAGTCATGTAACGCAGCGTGGATATCAGGATCTTAGTAAGGTTCATACACTGCAAACCCGAGTGTGTTATTTTAACACACTCACACACACAAGCTGAAGCTTTCTTCACGCGTTTCTTGTCGTCTGAAATCACGTCATTTGATGCATTTCGATATCACTTAACGCGTTTAAACGCGTTAAACGACGTGATTGAAAAGACGACGAAGATACGCGTAAAGGAAGCTTCAGCTTATAACTATATAATGTGTCAAAATAACACACTCGGATTTGCAGTGTAGTCAAGTCCTTATCTTAAGGAATTCTTATTACGTTTTTTTTTTCTCAAATTATGGCTCCTGATTACTCGGCACTCGCCTATATTGGGCGATGACATTGGAAATAAGAAATGACAATGCTGAAAATTCTTTCATGTCATTTCCAAATGAAAAGATATTTGCATGAAATCATATTTGAGATCGCTTGAGCATATTTGTAAAATGTTTCGTCACGACCAATAAATTATCGCACAACATAAACACGCACTGAGATACGCAACATGCACGCACAGAGTAGGCGATTGAACTGCTTCTCGAGCATCTTTTGTCTTGTGGGCCCATATATGGACAAATGCAAGGCAACTCGTCCTTGCGCGTCATACGATAAAAATTGAACTGTCTCTCTAATTATATGTGGCGCATTATAAAAATATTTTTTTATACTACGTCCAATACTATTAAAGTTTTACACATACACACACGCGCGCGCGCGCACACACACACACACAAACATGCGCGCGTGCACATACACACATATATTCATATTATATACACAAGTAAGCAGACAACGGCGATAACACAAAAACAAAGACGGTAGATGCGGAGACGGATCAGGGAAAGCGGAAAACATTTCGGCGTGACTCATCACCTGCAAAAAGCGCGTTGCGAAACAGCGGTCTCGCGCTATTGTCTAGATTTGTGATGACGAGACGTGTCCTAAGCTAAAGGAGACGTGGACCAATAGAGAGTTGCGAAATTATAAGATATAAACGCTGTAATCTTCGGGCGAGGAGGAAGCTTTCGGACGTCTGGGAAAACCACGCTTACGCTTTGTAATAATTATATATCTAATCTTAGAACCCTTTGTTTTTCGTTTCCCGATCTGCGATCCTTATCATTCTTTCCTTCCCTTTTCCTTTACTCGCCGTTTATCGGAAACCCGCCTTCAGCTTTGACTTTATACGCCCTCGCTTACACATATAAAATTAATTACAAATGGTTTTTGTTAAAACTTGGTGATGCAAATCATGTTAGGTACAATGAATAAGATCCCGACAAGGACCTGATCAACTGAACCATATTACATCATACACTAAGTTGGTACATTAAGGTCCCAATGTGGGGACCCAATCATTGTAACCCTGTAAAGGTCTTCCTTACTCATTTGTCGTTAGGACGTTATAAGGCGACTGACTTACTTAGGATTACCTTTCATTCGCTCTATTAGGTCCCCTTATCAATGTTAGGTGAAACTGATCCAAATTTCTAGTCGGGGGTGTTATCGGTGACAAGGGACAAAGCATTATTTCGCGAAGGAACGTCTCGCGCGCGGACGCGCGACCGCAGTGAGAGCGAAAGTGTCGCGTGTAATCGCTTTAGGGTGCGAGAGTGAAAGTCAACGTGTACTTTCAGGAACGTGTGCTCAAGTTTTCGTGAGAAAGAACAGGTGTCTCTTACTTACTCGGTGCCTGCTGTGTTGCGCTATTAGGTATCTGAAAGTGACAACGAAAATCGAAGAAAAGCCGTCGGAGCGAGGCTCCCCTCCGTCTCGTTGAGGAGAGCGCGCGCGCGCATTCACGGACTAGCGCGCGATCGGCTAATTATCGCCGGCAGCATCCGGCTGTTGCCGTTAACGCGACGCTTGCGGGATTGCGAGATTACGCGTAACAAATTGCGACGTTAACACGATATCGTTTCCGCGGCTGCTCTCTCCGGCGCCAGCTGGAGCGCCGCGCTCCGGCGCGGCCTTTGTAAGATAAACGCGCGAGTAAACTTATAATATCTCGCGACAGCGGTTTATAATGTACAGAGCGGTTTATAATGTAATGCGTCCTCCCTTGCTTGCAGCTCGTTCTAACGCACGGAAGACACGTATTATTATGTGAGGAGGAGGCCGCGACGAGGGAAACGAAGATGTCCGCCGTCAGCGTCGTCGCATGGTTGCTCGGCGCCGTCGCTTTGGCAGCGATCAACAATGGTGAGTCCTTCCGATCTAAATTCCAAATCTCTCCGTCAATGTCAAATGTCGCCGGTGATAACGACGACGCGCTCGCGCGCTACAGCACGCCGTGAAATGACTCGCCGTGATGTCGGACGCCGGACAAAGCTACAAAAGAGTCTCCTGCGCTAAGAACGCAAGGTCGTTTCCGACACGTTCGATGACGGACGGAATATTTTTCTCTTCAGCGCGAACTCTCCCTCTTGGAGATAATACATAAAGGTCATCCTGCAACACGTGTCGTAAGTTGTAAGCCGTGAAAACTGACCAATTATAACTGATTATCTTTGTAATAATCGACTGTGCGACTCGCCAATTCTTACGGCTCACAACTAACGACACGTATTGTAGAATGACGTTAAAAGTAGTGCTTCTCTCGCGAGAGGGCGCGAGACTTTTATTCCTGACATTTATAGGCTCCCCCCCCCCCCCCCACATCGCGAATCCTCGCTCTTGCAGCGAGAGCACCGCTCAATTAACCATCACGATTCAACCGTTTGTAATGGATTATCGGTTACGGCGAAATATAGACTCGCACGCGGTATCGGGGCGCATTTAATACGTTATTTATCGAATTCTTCAGTCTTCCGTATTTAATTAATCCCGCTCCATTAGTTTCGCCGGACGGATACGAAAGATTAATTTGCGATACACTTGAAGCTCGCCGCTTATGGTGGAGGCTTGAAATTACAACAACGTTCTCGAAATGTATCGCTCGTTTGCCCCACCCCCTCTCACCCTTCATCCCGCGATATTGACGATAATCGAGAGGCGAATAATAGCCGCTGTTTATATTCCCGCTTTCGTTTCGTTCGTTGCGTTTCGACGAGAAAGAAAACGTTTCAGCGGAGGATCGCGCGCGACGAATTTCAAATTGGATGTTGTTGCATCGTTAAAGAATGGCGGTGTGTGTGTGTGTGTGTGTGAGCGTGCTGGTGGTTCTTTAACCGTACGTATCATAATATTTATATAATATAACGTGAAACGCGGTTTCGCGCGGTTGTTCGCCAAACAACGCGCGCGGAATACGAAGAACGCGCGACGTACGTGGTCTTCGCGAGCTTTAAAATATATACAGTAACCAGTTTCACAACGGCTACAATTTATCCGTTTGCTTTTGGTTTTTTGTGCGCCCTCTTGTATTTTTTTCTCTTTTTCTCTTTTTTATTACGGGCCGCACGAAACGTGAAATAACTCAGAGATACGGTCGAAATACACGGTTGAATTATGGCGATAGCGCGTTTGATGGATTCACGTTGCACGTTGTTTGTACTACGGGCACAGTAGTAGTGTCTAAATGAAATATATCTGCGGTATTTTTTGAATGCGTTGCACTAGCTTTTAAAGATATTCAATAAATACCAATGTAGAAAAAAAAAAAAACAACAATGTGGGAAATGTGTGCGGATGAATTACACGGGGGCAACCGATATATATATATATATATATATATATATATATATATATACGTATATATAAATAGGAAAGAATCTCCGGGATTTTGTTTTCTTTTTCCTCAACGGAGCGCGTTTCTCGTCACACAATGAGGGATGCGAGAAAAATTGTATAGTTGATGCGCGCGCGCTCCGCTCGCTCCGCCGTTATTTGCCGCCGGCACTGGACGTGGCGATAATTTCGCCATCCCAGTGAAATCCCAATTTTTATCCCCCGATTATCCGTCTCCCGTGTCCTAAGTAGGTCCGTGACCTAGAAAGCTACGACGAATCTCCGAATCACAGGTTTCCGCGTGACACGACCTGCGACGCGAAAGTCGCAGCTCATCGGGTCTCATCGCGTGCGCACCGTTGAAGAAGCATTTCTTACCGATAGATATCTCGCGAAGGACTCCTTCTCGGGCTGGAATTATCGGTTTCGATCATCGGCCGTCGAGCTCGATACGACGGGAGCGCTGAGAAGGGATTTGAAAGTCAAATCTGCAGATCCGCCCGCAGAAATGCATTCCTCCATTGACGTAGTCGTCACGAGCGACGATGACGATGATCCTTTTGTTTCTTCTTCCGGCTGGTTTCCTCGTTTTTTCACCCACGGACGGTGAGAGACCAGACCGCGGGCCTCTTCCACTCGATCCTGTGGCGCGCGCGCGCGTGCGTTTATCATCAGTACGCTCGAGAGGGAAATTCGTGTGATCGCATACGAAATTCGAAACTCGTCGAGGCTCGATTGTCGGCCGGACGCGGCCGACAATGATCTCAAATCAACGTGCACCCCCGCGCTCATACGCGCGCATACGCATGCCGGCCTCGTGTTGGCGTCTATTCAAGTATGATTGCTCGCTGATCCGCGATCGAATGACTTTCTCTCCTTCTCTGCTCTTCTTTTCTCTCTCTCTCTCTCTCTCTCTCTCTCTCTCTCTCTTTTTCCATTTCTCCCCCTCCCTCCTCCCTCTCACGCTCTATCTCTCACGGATGAGAACGAAATACGAAAATATAGAGCCCGGCCGTTTCAATCGACCTACTGGCAAAGAAAACTTCATTACCCGCCTCGAGTTTCGATACCGATCGCACGGCGCGAGCACCGTCTCCAACGTTCAAAAGAACGAGCTTCCGCGGAACGTCGTGAAGGAGCGAGGGATACTCGCGAGAATAAGAAACAAGTGGAGACAATTTTTTCCTTTGCTTGTCTACCTGCAGAGAACGCCTCGACAATTTCCCCTTCCCAACTTCTCTCCTTCTTTCTCCTTCCTTCGCCTTGGATCGTCACTTATAATTTAATCCTTGCGTCTAACTTAATCGCTCCTTCACGTTGCGCTCTACTCACTTCTCCCTTTGTCCTACCGATCGAAACGCGATAGACAGGGTTCACAGCTTGCGCGCAGTAACGTGCGGTGGTCCAATCAAAAAATTAGACTTCAAAGAGTATTGGGAATTTCCCAACAATTCGGATGAAGCGTACACAGAGGCTTCGAGGTATCGCATAGCTTTTTTAATCCGCGTTATCCTTCCGATTCTCTAACGAACTGTTGTTCGCCTTCTTCTGCTGTACTTTTCTCTCTCTCTCTCTCTCTCTCTCTCTCTCTCTCTCTCTCTCTCTCTCTCTCTCTCTCTATCTATCTATCTCTCTCTCTCTCTCTCTCTCTCTCTACCTCTCTTCTCGAGACTCGCGCGACTTAGACGTCCGCTCGTTAGATCAGAATCATTAAAACAGGGGGATGCAGCAGCCCCGGCGGGGTCGCGTCAACTCGCGTACACGCTCGTTCACCGTCCTTGTGCAGCCGCGCGAACAGGCGACGCGCAGCAACGACAAGAGCGATATAGCTCTCTCATCTCCCTCTCTCTCTCTCTCTCTCTCATCTCCCCCTCTCTCTCTCTCTCTCTCTCTCTCTCTCTCTCTCTCTCTCTCTCTCTCTCTCTCTCTGTCTCTGTCTCTCCCCCTCCCTCTCTCTCACTCTCTTTCGTCTCGAGCTACGGGCGATAAACACCCTTTCCGCGGGCAAACAATGCAGCGACACGAGACGAAAAATTAACGAGGTGCGAATGCGCGCGTCGACCAAATTCGAACTCATCTCCGCTCGCTTTCTCTCCTTCTTCCGCTCGCTCACGCTCTTTCACTCTCTCCGCTACTCTCTCGCTACCCCGCTCAGCTCAGCCCCGGCCTGCGTGTGTACACTTGTACGCGTGCATCAGCATCTCGAGTACCGTGCAGTTACGCGCGTGCATCGGCGAATGTTCGACAGCTGTAGCGGCACGCTGCAGCTGGCACACGGCGAATGTACTCGTACGTATACGCGTTGCCCCTGCATACGTATCCTCTCGCGTTGCCGGTGAAACGATATACCGGGGATACGTCCGATCGGCCATTACGGGCAATTCCACGGGACAGGTAAGCCCGTGAGCAAGCGGAGACCCGTAATTACGTCACCAATTTACAGAACGTTCGTTGACGAGGCAACCGCCGGATATGACATTAAAGACGACGTAGCGAGAGATTCGCGCGTTTAAAGTCACCGGGTCCACTCTCGCGCGGCCATCAAGCGGATGGAAATGGAATGCGCGTGCGACGATGCTCCTTGAGCATCCCGGGATCGCGCGATGTGTGTGTCTCCTTCTCATTTTTCTTCCCTGCCGCTTGCCATTTAGGCAAATTATTGACGAGCGTCCGGAGGATTTTCGCAGCGCGCGTCGCCGGCCCGTCGTGATCCATATTGCAAAATGATTATTAAAACGCGGCGTCATCCAATTAACGAGTAATTGCCGCTGCTTATTATTGTTTGATGAGCACACGGTTATGCGCTCGGCCGCGCGATGGACGTGTTGTCTAGTATTCCATTATCGATGAATATTAATTAATGTAACGCGCGCGCGCGCGCGCGTGCATGTACCGGGCGGGATAATTAAATTGGTATAAATTGTCGCGAGTCTCGCCACTCTTCAAACCTGACGATGATTACGCGCCGCCGTAGCGAGATAGCGCGCAGTATGCGCAAATGCCCGGCAACTTTTTTCGCGCAAGTTTCTCTCTCGCTCTCTCGCCGCGCTGCCACTGACAGGTGGAGAAAGCTGGACGGACAGATGTAGGTAGCGAAGTAAATGGCCAGGTAGACCGATCGATCGATCGATCGTCCATCCGGCCATTCGCAGATCGCGGGCGGCAATATCGCGCGGGCGCGCGCGCGCGCGCGCTCATTACGCAAGTTCTCCCCCGAGTCTGGCAATTAGGGGCTGATCTCTTATTGCGAGTGCTAGTTCGCCGCTCCTCGCGACAGAGTTCCGCAAACTGGAGAAAGGTCGGAGGGTAGGTTGATTTAAGCCCTGCGGCTAGGTGGCGGAAATCTTTGATAAGGCACGGCTACCGCAAACCCTGATTGGTCGCCCGAGGCCTCGCGCCGATATGACGTTCAAACAATACGCTCCATGCTAACAATGCAATCGCGGCCGAGATAAAGATGTATAGATCCCGAGCCCACCTACCCAGTCGCCTATCCCGGCGCGGCGGTCGCGCGCGTATTTCCGGACATGCCG